AACTACAAAAGCAGATAGGGAGAAAGAATGGGATCTATGGTGGCAGGCCACAGAAAGCAGTGATAAGAGGAGTCCTGGGAGGATCCAGCTCCAATGTAAGGCAGAAGCATGAGAAGCCTTTGAAGCATGAGATCCCATTGGAGGTCAAGAATAAGGTGTGTATGGAAATGCATGCAGCAAGACATGAACATGCAACTGAAGCAGAGCTCATCAGAGTTTTTGCAGGCAAGTGTTCCATCAGAGCTGACCAGCTCAAAGCAGTATGGATTTCCAGAAGCAAATGGGCTGATGAGAGCGCCAAGCATGACAGCAGCAAAAGCAGGTTGAGCATGAGAAGCAGGAATGCCATGAGCATTGGCAAAGGAGCCAAGAAGAAGACTGCAGAGAGATTGAGGGCATCAGGAGGAGGAGCCAAGAGAGAGTTTCCACATTTGGTGGACAAGGTTGCCACATGGGTTGACATGGAGAGATGTCATGGACATGCTGTTCTCAAGCGCCATATCGCTTGGAAATGGGAGATGCTTCTTGAAGAGGAACAGCAAAAGCTGCAGCATGAGATGGATCAGCTGGATGATAAGGACTCCTACACATGCAGATCTTTGCAGAGGTCCCACTCCAGAGCACAGAAGCAGCTGCAGACCATGAGAAGAAGTGATAAGGCAAAGGCAAAGAGAGCTGATGTGATCATTGGCTGGATTGGTGCAAAATATTGGATGCCCAATTTGGTGACCCAGATTACAGAGATTGAGCAGCAAACTCGTGCTGAACTCACATGGTGGCATCATGACTTTCTCATGCACAAGCTTGCCAAAAGAGATGCATCAGAATTGCAAGACATGTTTGCCAGACCTGAAGAAGCAGTCCAGCATATGAACTCATGTGTTCTGGCATTCAGCGATCAAGTGCCTCTTTGGGCAAAGAGGCAGACCATGAGACAAGTCTTTGCAAAGCATGAGACAAGGCAAGGTGCAAAGCCAACACATGAGGTCAGGAAGCAATTGGCAGATGAGCTTTCCAAACAAGCCATGCAAAAGGGACTGCAGCAGCCAGCCATAGCTGATGACAATGAGCATGAGCAAGGCATTGTGCCTGCTGGCGAGGCTGCCACTGAGAGCCATTGCCTGATGGCAGCACTGGCAAGATGCATCCCACAACCATGAGGGAGGCAAACACTGACAAGTTCAGAGTGACATTTGAAGCTCATCAGTATGTGACTGGATGGTTTGACCCAAATGCAGAACCTCAAGGACATGTTGCCAAAGGAATTTTGGTAGTGGCAGGGCAACATGCAAGATTGTCCAACATTGGGCCTGATGACAGATGGCTGCATGATGAGACAATTGAATATGCTGGCAAAATCAGAAAGCACATTGCTGGTGAGAAGTGTGGGAGAGCATTGGAAGGATGGAGAAAGATTCGAGCATCCCATCCACATCTTTTTCGACATTTCACAGTTATGTCACAACCATCGTGCAACATGGACAGCATCTGCATACCGTGGAACATTCAAGACAGTGCACATGAGATGCCAGTGTCACTCTACCAACGTGATGCATATGGGGCAGCATTCAGTGATAGCACCACAAAGATGAGATATTTATCTCATCAAGCACAATCAACAATACAGCCAAAGATGACCAGTGCCATGCAGCTGACAGATACAGATTTCAGCCATCAGTTCAAGGCAGCAATGAAATTACACATTGATAGGAAGGTGGAGGCCATGCAGAGAAATTCCACAGAATTGCCCAAGATCAGCAACCTGGACATAGCTTTTGCTGTAGATGCTGCTATGCAGCAAATGGTGGAGGCCAATGAGGAGAAAGCATGGGTTTTGGCTGGCCTCAGGCGCAATGGATTCCTTGCACTCAGACCTGATGCCACAGGTAAGATGAGATGGTGTGGTGAAGAAGATTGGGCCAAAGACAAGCCATTGGGATCCAAGAGGATCAGCAAAACATGGCTGGACAATAGATTGGCGCATGTTCTTGATGAAGGCTGCACAATCAATGAGCCCAATTGGGAGAGGATAGATGGAGCCAAGGAGCTGAGTGATCTCATAGAATGGGATTATGCACAGCCAACACCATCACATGCTGACATGCCAGCTCTTGAGGATGAGGACATGCCAGAACGGGTGCAGGCTGGTGAGTTTCAGCTGCCATTGGATTTGAGAAGAAAGGCCATGTTGAAGGACATGCAGATGAGTGATGAGGCCAGAAAACAAAAAGAAAAGATGAAAGCAAAGAAGGCAAAGAGAAAAGAGGAGAGAAAGCAAGCAAAGACATTAGAAGCTGATGAGAAGGAAGATATCAAGAAGGCTTTGATGACTGACAGCAGGCATGAGCAAATGATTGCCCAAGTGCCATCAGCATCCACCAAAAAAAAGAAGATCACTGCGAAGAAGACAAAGCTTGCAAAGAAGATGAAGAAAAATCAGCTCAAAGACAGAATCAGAAAGATTGCTGCCACCAAAGCCAAAGAGAAGATTGAGGATAAGCAGCAGCAGCCCAAGGCATTAGCTTCACATCCAGCCAAAGCAAAGCCATTGCCTGATGAGCCCCCATTGCCACCACCATCATCCCCCCCAGCGCCATTGGAAGAGCATGAGTTGGACATTCCTTCTTCCAAGCTGAGAGTGGTGAGTGAGCATGCTGGCCCTTCATTGTTTGGTAGGCAAGGCACTGCCATGGGGGCATCAGAGAAAGCATTGCATGTGCTCCTTGAAGCTGATGGGCTTCATAAAAAGAGTAGGACTGCATGGGTGGATAGGAGCTACCTGGAGCCAGTGGGAGGGGATAAGAAGCAATGGAAATGGCACCAGCTGACATTGCAGAGATGGCACAAGCATGATATCCTGCTAGATGCAGGGATCATATTTGAAGACCCTGCATTGCTGGACTCATGGGGTGAGCTGGAAGTCATTTAGCATTTTTGGACCCATTTGTTTACCCCCCCCCTTATTAGTCCGGTCTGTGCTGAGCATGTTTTTTCATTGGCTGATCTGAGGAAAGACCATTCAGATGTGGACATTGAGACTGTGGTCATTGCTTATGGTCTCATTAGATGGATGGCTACAAAAAAGACAATGGAAGACATCCAGGATGTGGAGTTCATCCATCCAACTGCGCTGCATGGCATTCTATCTGAGGATGCTCAATCGAAACAAAGCATGTGCTGATTCTCGGCCTTGGCGCGAGTTTGATTCATGCCTCCAAAGGCAACAGGCATATGTCTATCTTGAAGAAGCTTCTCTGCACCTGGGCTGGCATCGCCGACTCGTACTACGAGATGAAGAGCGTGGTCCCTGCGCGTGACGCTGTGCGTGTCGACCAAGAGGGCAAGTTTACCCCTTTACATCAGGCCCGATGCGCCTGGCGAGTGAAAGAGTCCAGCTCCACCATCAGGTCCATGGAGAAAGCCTGGTTTGAGAAGGACGGCATGCCTTTGTTCCCCGCTCGGCATCGGCAGTGGCTTGCACTTCTGGGGATCCATGGAGCGCAAAAAGGAGATTTTCAACGACCTGATGGAGCGAGTGGCCCGAGACCGCGGAGCTTTACATCCTCGTGTGCGCGGGGTGGAACTTGGTGCCAGGCCCGTGTGAGGATGCTGGCGCGGCTGAGAGGAAGATGGCCAGGCTGCACGCGGAGCAGCAGCTATTGACGTTGCTGCAGACAGAGGCAGTGACATTTCGGGATGTGCTGCAGATGTGTCATCTGTGGTCGGATATGCCGCTGACTGCCAACCTATGGTCGCAGCTCGCGTGCTGCTCCTCTCCGCTTTGGTGGCTTTCGAGGCGCGTGATCCAAGATTGCGGCTGCTCGGCGGAGATCTTCTGCCCTGGATTCTACCGGGAGTTCGCAGGCGAGGAAGAGCAGTGGCAGTTCCTGCAGTGGAGGCTTCCCATCTCCAGCCTCAGAGCAGCCCGCAAGGAGCCGGGTGCGATCGCTGCGCTGTGGCGGTTGTACCGCAGCGGGGGAGTTTACGTGTCTGGCAGCCAGAGCCTTGGAGTAGAGCTGGGTCTTTGGCTCCAGGACAAGCAGCGCGAGCTCGGGATTCAGATTGGCTATGGGCTGCTGGGAGCGGAGCAATGAGGAGGATGATTCAGAGGGATGGGGTGTGCCGCAGGCGGGTGTGTAATCGCCGAAGCTTTTTTTTGGTGGCCGCACCACCCTCGTCGTCAACGGATTCCCCCCCACCACCAAGCAGAGGGGATGTTAGTTTTAGGTGTGAACTGCGTCACCATTGCTGGCCGGTCATTAAGGACATGCTTTTTATGCCTTTTTGTTTGGTGCTTTTTTTGGACCGAAAACCTTGTTTTTTCGCGTGCGCGTTCTTTGTCAAAACAATCCGTTTTTCGGAAGTGTTTTTTTTGCCGAAAATCTTGGGGAGGGAGGGGGGGAGGGGGGAGGGGGGGGAAGAATTTTTGGGATGCGCTCTTACTCCAAGGTGGCTTGAACTTGACTGAACCAAGAGGGCATCAGCTCATATATGCTGAAGAAGATGAAGGGCAAGGCACTGCAGGGTTGGGTTTGTTGACCATTGTTTGGTTGAATATTGTTCCCAACCCTGAGGCCAAATGCTTTCTCATGCCATTTGCTGCTGGTCACCATATTGTGCTCATGGTAGTGGATTTGAGACCAGGCATATGCAAGCAGAAGCAGATCAGATATTATGAGACACTGACAACTATGAGTGAGCCATGCTTGCACAAGGCACATGCCATTTTGGCATGGCTTTTGAACAACGAAATCGTGGATGAGGACTTTTTGATGAGGCCTCCATTGGATAGAACCAATGCCAGCATCAGGCAGCCAATTGGCTCCAATCTGTGTGGATGGTATATCATGACCTACTTGGAAATGGAGGTTGCCATGTTGACTGGACATGGCCCTGCTGCCATTGGGTGGCCTGAAGAGGCCATGCAAGCTTGGCATGCCAGGATGCAGAAATTCATGCCCCAGTTGCAGAAGGAGATAGACATGAAGAAGAAAGAGGTTACCAATGGCATTGCTCTATTGGAGAAGTATGGCCAGAAGGTCATGCAGGAAAGAAAGAAGACTTATGATCTGGCATGCAACAAAATGAAGAAGGGTGAGGCATTGACTTCATTGCAGATTGAGGCCATGGCCATTGTGAATGAGAATTCCAAGCTGCAGATTTCAGATTTGCCTGCAGAGTATCACAAGGCCATTGAGAAACTCAAACACTATGAGGTGGGAGTGTGCAGTAGATGCAGGTTCCAATCAGGCTGCTTATCATGCAGCATTGAGAAGTGCACAGCCTATTGGATGAGGAGGGAAGGCAAGAGATTAGGAAGAAGCATATGTGCAGAGTACATGCTATGAATGTGAGTTGTCAATATGGATGACATGTTCAGCCATTTCTAAGAAATGAGCTCAAGAAGCAGTGGAGAAAATGAGATAGCAGCGGCCATCTGGGGCAGGGACCGGTCTAATTGGGGGGGGTTGTTTTGGATTATTTTTTATTGAGGGGGGTTTTTCTGAGATATGAATTGTTTAGTATTGGGGGGGTCCACCCGGACCGGATTAATAGGGGGGGGATCACTAATACACTGTCAACATTACTAGATGGCTGCAACCAAAAAACGATTGTTTGCTACCATACCAAGGGTTGTAAGGGGAAATTATGTAGGCTTCTTCTCCTTTTAGGATGCCCTAGACAAAGCAATATAGTTGCGTTTGCTTTGGGCTCCCCTTGCTGGAGGTATCAAAGTATGTATGTTCCCTTTTACCTTTTTGCAATGATCATAGAAGCGGAGCAGAGGACAATCTTAATCTTGAAAGCAATCAAGAACAGGCCTGGAGGAGGGATGATTGATTTCCTGGCTTGTTTGTGCCGGTCCGCCCCCACCCTATTTTGTGGCTACTTTTTCGTTGTCCGTTCCCCTTCTCTTGGTGCGGACTCTCAAAAAACCCTGCTTTTTGTTTAACGCTTTTTCCTTCCACGCCAGCGTTCATTCCATGCTGTTGCGTGCAACCTCCCGTTTTGTTTTTTGCCATTCATGAGCCCGAAACGCAGGTTTCGGTCCGTTTTTCCGCGAAATGTACTGCTATTTGTGAAATATTATACCATTTGTTGACGCGTCGCAATGGCCGTCCACGGGATGCATGACTGCCTGTGTCGTACATGCTGGCACATGTAAACGTGCCCGTCCACGCTCTGCATGGTTACTTGCGTACATGCTGGCACACACGCTAAAGTGCCCGTCCACGCGCTGCGTAGTTACATGCGCACATGCTGGCGCATAAGGATAACGTGCCTGTCCACGCGCTGCACGGTTACTTGCGTACATGCTGGCACATGTGTTAGCGTTCTACATACATGAGCTTATGGCGGACTTCTCAAGCCCGACTTGTCTCTTGTTGACGGGGTCTCAGTGCAGACATATTTTCTTGGAGCATGTTGCGTTGATGGCCTGCTCTAGATACTTGTATATCAGCTCCGCTTGTCGCTTGCTCGCTGGTGCATGCTCGTGACTTGGAAACGGCGGTTTTCCTTCACACGCTCACTGGCCGGGGTTTTCGTTTGGGCATGCACTTTTTTCCCAGAAACCCCCAAAAGAAGACAAATCAGAACACACTGTAAAACGCAGGGAAAGTTCAACATGTCAATTGCATTTTCGCAAGGGCGGCAAGACAGCCGGCTACCTTGTTTGTCCGACATCCCCGAAAAGGATGGATGAGGAGAGATTGTTTGCCAGACCATTCAGTAGCATTATACTAGCGTACTATCCGACCCCATCCAATCAGTTGACCTTTTCTGCCCCGCATGCCAGCTGCACCTGTTTTCCAGTGCACCATGAGAATGAATCAAGGCATTTGCCATGTTGTGAACCTTCCCGCTGTCGCACCAGGCAATTCGGGGCGATTCTGGCTGACTTGTACCCAAACAGAGGCATCGGAGTCCTTTTCAAGCCCGGTCATGTTTTGTTCGAAAGGCGTGAATGGTCACGTTGGCACTTGGTTCAGTAGCCAAGGTTTCAACTGGCTGTGGGTCAAAACGCATGGTACCATTTTTGTGTAGGTGAATTCACCACCCATTTTAGAACCTATTTTGGTGGTAGGATTGGGATGTTCACTGGGGGTACGGGCTTTGGCTTTTGACCCATGGCCAACTCGTCGAAGCCTCCGCTCAGCGCAATGCATCAGGGCCTTGGAGTGCCACCATCGCGCGGAAGAGCTTCGCGAAGAGGAGGCGCCGGAAGGCGGGGCCCATTGGACCGGGGGAAATGCGCATTTTTTTGCGACCAGGTGGGCGCAAATTTCATGGTTGTTTTTGGGAAGCATTTTACATGTTGCTTGTCGTGGTTTAGTGGGAAATTTGAAGGGGGAAGAACTAAAGATGGGTTGCTCAAAATAGCTCTGTGTCCATGGCACGGACCACCCTTTAAGCGGATGTTCGCTTTAGTGGGGCCTTTTGGATGCATGCGGGAAGTCAGCCTTTGTTGTTTTTGCGTTTTTTTTTTTTTGGTGTGTGTGTGTGTGTGTTGTAACGGGGAGGAACAAAGGCTGCGTTGACACCGAATTCAAACCTTACCATGAGGCTTTAAACGGTTGACTGGCGAGGGTTTTGAGCCCCCACCCCGCCTCTGAGGTGCGGGTTCATACATCGGATGTTAGAAAGGGTTTCGGGCGGAAAAGCCCGGAATCAGGCCCTGAATCGACCTTGAAGCATTGCGCATGCTTTTCTCTTCTCGTGGAATTCTGGGGCGGCTATGAGTAAGATTGATAAGGCCAGGCATGGATAAGCCATGGGCCTTAAGCTTCAACCCAGCAAGTGCGATCCAAAATATCCTTTTGCAGTTTGTCCAACATCTGATCGACAAAGCAGCCTAAAATTATCCAACATCTACACCTCCAAATGGTTGGTTTCCTTCTGGCAGCATGGGTGTTTTCTCAAAGTCGGTTGGTTTCGAGAAACTACATTGAATCAGCCATGACGATCCCAGAATCAACAAATGCTCCCGGCAATGGGATAAATCATGCAAAACAAGCGGGTCTGCCTGTTTCTGGTTTACACCCATTTGCTGGGTGTTGGCCCGCTGTCAATTCGCCCAAAAGTAAACTGTAAAAGGGGATGGGATCAGTATAGTTCCAGACCCAAGCCCCGGTTTTATGAGGGCTTCCAGGGTGAAAGGCCATGATATTTGTGGTCTTGGCATCCTGAGAAATGTATTTATTCATGATAATTGAGAATGGCTGGCAAATCACCCAAAAAGAAACAGCCATTGGGAGGTCATTCCACAGTTCTTTTTGCCAGCCATTGAGGGGTCCTGGTGGGAGACATATTCAAATTTCCTCCCCCCTTTTGGCAGTTTGGAGTCTAGGCTGGCGCTGTGATGGCTGCGACGCACATTTTCCGCCGGGCACCCGCCTGGCACGCTGCGAAGCATGCGCCGTAGTCTTCTGCGCCAAGTGCGTTGCGCCGGAGGGCGTTTAGCGGGAAACGACCTTCCGGCGCTGGTTCGAAATCCAACCACTGGGGGCCTTAATTTGGGGCTTAAAATCTTCCAGTTATTAGCCTTTTTGTTTAAGCAGGGGATCCAGGGCAAGACGCAAATAGTAGGCAACCAACAATCTTCCCCTTGGGTGTTAAAGGGTCGTTCCCTTGGTTGCCTTGCGATACAGGTAAATGGATCCACTGGGTTAGATTTCCCAGTTGATCCTTTCCGGGGCATTGAGAGATCACATGAATGTGACTGATTAGCTGTGGGAACATGTAACTAATTATTTCATTTGGAGGTCTACACTCTGGTTAAGACGATCCACACAGCGTCAAAAGGCAACCCCGGCTGGTGGGTGTTCGGTGGTTTGGAATTGAGATAAGGATGGAGTTGCCTTGTGGGTTCCTTGTCTTTTCATGCCACACGGGAGTCTAGACAGCTTGCAACCTCACCCAGGCATAGAATACCATGATTTTGGGTTGGTGAATTGTTTCACCCAGATGGCGGTCTTGGCATATGTACCAGGGTTCAAACATGATTTGACTTAGGCTGGTAGGAACTGTCATAAACACCTCAAGCGACATTTGTGGACAGCCATCAAAGTTTCTCAAGAACGAATGCGACAGCGCAGACGAGGCCCCCCCCCCCAAAAGAGAGATCAACATCAGGGGCTACCTGTCGCATATGCTTCACACAAGAAAGTGTTTTGGTATCCCACAGCCAAGTACCCCTCAATGGAGCCTTTTTCTTTAAATTCCACGTCCCTAGTTATGGATGTGCTCACATTGAGACGTGGCGTGACACAGCCACCGAACACCCAGATATGCAATGGCTCTTTGTGCGAGCCAAAGCACGTACAAAAATTGGTCGGCCAGGCGTCCCGATTCGGCACGTAAGCGAGAACCAATACATGAGCCTGATTGATTCCACAACGCTCCCTTGCCCTCACAGCTAAGAACTGGTTGTTGTTTTCAACATATTATTACGGAATGATCCCACTTGCGGGAGTTATTAAGACGTAAGCTTTCTGGATGTCCAAAATATCCTGAACATGACACTCTCCTATGACCGGAAACCAACTTGCCCTCATGCTTGCCCAATCCTGACGCCGGGCGTGAAGCCGGGATGGTTTCAGGCATGCAGGAGGTGAACAGATGGTGGCACCCGGCCCGTGATTTGAACCTCCACCCTGGGGTCGATTCGAATGCGTGGCAGAGCAGCGATGAGTTCTTGGAGGACCTATCGACTGAGCGACCCAACCCTTTGGCTGGCGCACTGAGCCTTTGGCTCGCGCTTTCAAGTGAAGCCTTCCAGCAGACATCCCCTTTGAAGGATGCTTCATGTCTTGTTTGATGCCTTACTTTGGAAGGTGACGTCTTCACAAAAGGGTTGGGTATTTGCCCGCACACGCCATGGTCAAAACAGCCATGTATAAGGTGAATGGCTACATATGGCTACGCTTAGTTGTCATGATTTGCTGAAGCCAATTGTTTGCAAGAAGGGCGCCTGCTCGGCACTCGGAAAGCACGCCTCTTTGTGCACATTTGACCGTGGCTGGTTTTCGGCTTCACCGTTTCAGCGGTTCGAACGCCGTTGAAGAGACCCACGTTCCCCGGCCAGCCATGCACATTCTTGCATGGGACTCGGCCGTCCCGCACGACAGCGGGGAATTGTTTGCAGCATGTGACATAGATCGAACTGGATGATCCATCGAAGCGAAACTGATCCACCGAAAGACTGGCTCCGCGGAATGTGCCTATGCCCCCATATTCCCGCATGAGAGGCTATTGAAGGTGCTGGCTGCTGTGTCCACGTTTGGCATGGGTCAAAACCCCACCTCCCGGTACCAACCAACGGGGTATCTGGGTTTCGAGCCAGTTTCGGGGCCCAAGGCTTGACTTGCACCAGGTCCAGGTGTGATGCTGGCCATGAATCATGAGAAGCTCAACAGAAGGTTGGTGCCTGGAGTCTCCTTGACCCTGAAAAAATGGGGTCATTCCCCAAAATAATGGGGTCATGGACCCATTTTTAAGGGGTGATGGAGACTGCAGGTGGACATAACAACATGTGCATGATGTCTATGGGTCCATTGGAACTCTGGCCGGGTTGCGCTTTCCTCTTTCAAATAACCATCCAACATGAGCACACAATGTTCAAATGGGGAGCGCCCAGCGTCCGCTTTTTGGACAGCACTTGTTTTGGTTGGCATGCAAAAAAGCAGTAGGGTGCTGGTAGGGTTTGCGGTATTTCGCTCGCACACCCCAAAATAATTTCAGACGCAACTTGTAGTTCCCTTCGTTGCAAAAAAATGGCGGACCATCCAGGCTGAAGTTTGCGCACCTGGGAATCTGGGAAGCCCAAAAAGGGGCCTAATCTTGCTGGTGCTCAGTAGGGAATGACCTTCCGGATGTTGGGAATGAACCGGTTTTGGGGATTCCCTTAAGGGAAACCAAATCAGGGATAGCTTTTTTTTTTTTTTTCTCGAGGTCATTGCATTTCTCATTCCCAGCCTATATGGATCTGGTAACTTACTTGTTGGTTTGGATGGGTTTGGGGAGTTTAACCCCTGGTTCTTGTAGAGGGCAACTGGGTTTCCGAATTTCCCCCCCCCCCCCCCCGTTTCACCACCACCCGAAAGCCAAGCCGTAAGCTGAACAACGGCTGCTTTCGATGGCCCGCAGCGACCGCAGGAGCCGCTTTCGGGGGACTCGGAGTTCCCCGGGCGCCAGGAGATCTTCCCGCTCCGCTTGGGGCCCGATGGGATCGGATCGGCCGGGGCTCGTGGGGCTCGGGTCAGCGACTCCGGACGCAGAAGCCCTTGCCCCGCGATGGTGCATTTGTAGAGCATCCACGAACAGGTGTTGTTGGTGGTGATGG